ACTAAATACTGCTTTCTGAAGACTAGATACTGCGACAGGTCTAAATACAGCGTCTGGAACACTAAATACTGCTTTCTAAAGACTAAAATTGCTTTCTGGAGACTAAATACTGCTTTCTGAAGACTAGCTACTGCTGACAGGTCTAAATATTGCAAAAGAAAGATAAGATATTGTTGGAGAAAACATTAAAAAGGGCGCCTCCTTTTAAGCGTGCATTGAAGGTGACCATGTGAAGGAAGACGGAAGTATATTATCTGGTGAATAATATCAAAGAACTTAACTAGCAGTCTACAGCAGAAAATCTGAAGATTGAATTGGCTTGGATTCCCGGTCATGCGGGGATTATCGGAAATGAGATGGCCGATAGGCCGATGTCAGAGAGTGGGCATGGTATAAGCTATTGCCTTCAGAATCTAAGCATATGATATCTACAATTAATCGCCTGAGAGTGGGACACGTCATGTTTCTTGCACATATGTATAGGATTGGTATGGTGGATTCTCCAAATTGCAGTTGCGGAGAATTTTGTGATCTTAATCACATTATTTTAGCTTGTGAGACATATGAGTTGGACAGAAGTAGAATGTTTGTTAAGTTGAGAAAGAAGGGTATTTTTCCTCCATATAATGTTAGTTTACTTTTGGCTACTAATAACGTTAAAGTTTTAAGAATGCTTTTTTATTTTTTGTGCAAGATTGGATTTTTTGTTTAATTGGGCTACCTAATTTAAAGAGAAACTGATACAAGAAAATTTGTATTGGTGGTAAAAGGGTTATATAAACCCAGACATCAAGTTTTTATCCCTGGTATTTAAGAAGAATTGATAGGTTATAATATTATTAGGTAAAAAAGAATTAAAAAAGATTATTTTTGTAGTTTCTATCAAATTTTATTAGAATCAAATCCTTTATTATTCAAACAAACAGCATAGTATTATAGAAGAAAAATTAACAAAGTCGCTCGATTAAAAAAAGGGGGTTCTAAATAATGAGAAACTATAAATTAATAACAATAATTAATATAAAATACAGAATAACATTGCATTGACTTTGCACTTGATTAAACCCTATAAAGGATGTATTAAAATATTCATTAAATGCTTTTATTCGTTATTTTTTTTTTAAAGTCCTTGTGCGGAGTTTATTATTTAAATTTATTAATGATCGGCCGATATGTACATTTTTTATTCATTCCAAATTTAAACTTAATTAAAGAACCATATACCAAATTCTTATCACCTAAATAATTAATTAATTAATTGGTTCCATTCGCTGCTTTTACGTTAAGGAAGAGCTGTTTCATATCAGATAAAGCAGTTTCGATCTTTTTCGCAAACCTGTGACAATCCTAAAAATAAAATTGGATTTAAAATGTGACAAAATGTGTTTTATAAATTTACCGTTTGCGTGCTGCTTCTTTTATGAGAAATATGGAAGAAAATCATATCTTCTCCAGCTATAATGTAAGAAACTCCATATCCATCATCAGCTACAGGCCCAAATCCTCCACCAGCTGAAATACAATCAGGATATTTTTGTAAATCCATTCGGGATGTTTGTCCATGTGGTGTTTGGGATGTTGATAGCCTCCACGGTTCGCTTAATACTTTTTGTAAGAAAGGAGACTCTAGTTCGAGATATTTCGATATAACGTAGAGACAAAATAGATGTCTGTCGATCCCTTTTCCACACATAGCATCTTGATACGCCGACTAAAAATTAAAAAATTAAATACTAATACGAAGATTTAATGTTTTAATTCACCTGGTGATTATTGCAAGCAGCCCATAACAACCTCACTCGTTCATCATTCGAACAATTCTTGTCCTCCATAGCTTTAACCCAGGCTGATGATTCAATGGTGCAAGGTCGAACGGTTTCAGTGCGCCCTTCCCTGAATAACCGCGTCATACTAGCCTCGTAAGTTAAACTAAATCTCCCCGCATCGCGGTAATACGCCAACTGTAAAGCCATTTGAATGTACGCATCTGGACTTACTCTACATTTCTTCATAAAACCTTTTCCATAATGATCATGGACGAATATCCTTAAATCGACGTCGTTGATTAATTTTAAAGCGTTATCAGCAGCTATATTAATTATATTTTCAGCTTCGTCTTTGATGTCCCATTGTAAACGAATTGGAGTTGGGGGTGTTATTTCACATTCACCAACTGTGTCACCATTTGAATCATATCTAAAAGGAATAAATTATTATTTTTTTTAAAGATTTATTTGGTTGTTATGAAATCGAAAGCTACGAAGCGAATAGATTTAAGCTAATAGATAGGAAAGTGTGATAACAAAAAAAGAAACTAAAATATAAATATATCCATTTCAAGCCTTTTTAGATATTGTTAAATTAGAAAATATAAAATTAATGCTTTATATGGATATATTTTTTTGGAATTAGAAGTAAGAAAAAAGAAAAAAGCTTGTTGATGATGATTTACCGATTTTCAAGATCGTCACAGATGACGTGTTCCCACATGTGAGTCAAGACTGCGGCGTCAGCCCTTTAGGACGCGTACCGGAAAAGAAAATCGTGTTAACCTCAACCAAGAACACAAAAAAATTAAATAATAAAATAAAAAATAAAATTAAAAAAGGTTAAATCCGAAAAGAAAGTGCAAGAATAAAGTTGATAGAATGGCAGTTCTGGCGTCGAAGGCAAAACCTTTCTAAACGAGTGCTCTACTTTATGTACATGGTTATAAAAAGAAAAAATTATCGGTATTGTTGTTTTGAATGCTTTACCGAACCATTGTTGCTTCATTGGTCACCACTAATTCCCATATATGCGACATTACGGCTGCATCTCCCCTATAACACACCTAAACTTATTTTCTAGTAGCTCAAAACTGCGAGAATTTATTCTATTTTGGCAGCAATTATTAAATTAGTAAATTTAAATGAGAAAATTTGTTAATGGTGTCTTACCACGAATGTTCAGCGTTGAATCCAACCTAATAATAAGAAAGGAAAATTTAAGTAAAGATAATTAATAAATTTAAATCAGAACGTTTTACTTTGTGGATGAATATATATGAACTAATTACTTTATAAATTAAAACTTTGTTTTTTGCACTTTAATGGATTTTATTTATTGTTTTCTCAACCGGTTTCGCTATATTAGCATCTTCAGGAGAGTTACGTCAATTTGTTACAAAAATATACTTTAATTTGATTCATTTGGTAATTCCTTGCTTATTTCTATTGTTAAACCATATAGATGATATTTATTAAGTATGATTGAAGAGGATTAAAATAGTTTAGAAACGTGATGTGTCATGGAGTTCGTTGTCAAAGTTAATTTTTGGCCCCACGTTGGGCGCCAAAAGTTTGTGGCAATAAAAAAAAGGGTTTAACCAAAATTACAAAAAAAAACACGAGTATGTTGGATAGGTACGGGCAAATGAATCAAATTAAAGTATATTTTTGTAACAAATTGACGTAACTCTCCTGAAGATGCTATGTAAATATAACGAAACCGGTTGAGAAAACAATAAATAAAATCCATTAAAGTGCAAAAAACGAAGTTTTAATTTATACACATAAAATGGAAAGAAAATCACCTAAAAATATTAATTACTTTATAGTTTAGTTACTTTAGAGTTAGATTGACTAGTTTTGGAGTAGGATTATTTTGTGGCTTAGGGTTGGGTTAACTTGGTTTGCAGTTGGATTACTTGCTGATTAACTTGCTCTAGAATGAGTCTAGAACTAGCTTGATTTGGTTTCTGAATTGGAATTTTTTAAAGCAATCCAACCCAACCATGTGTCAAATTTGAATTACAATGAGTTGGGTTGCCTTGTTTTATGATTGGATTGACTTGCTTTGAGATTGAGTCGATTTACTATACAGTTAGGTTGGATTAGTTTGGCGTTGATTGCTTTGTATGATGGTTAGCTTGCCTCTTAGTTGAATTACTTTGTGGTTGAGTTACTTCAGAGTTAGATTGACTTGTTTGGAAGTAGGATTAATTTATGGCTTAGTTCCTATAGGGTTGGGCTAGCTTAGTTTGGAGTTGGATTACTTTCTGGTTAACTAACTCTAGAACTAGCTTGATTTGCTTTCTGAATTGGGATTTTTTAAAGCAATCCAACCCAACCATGTGTCAAATTTGAATTATAATAAGTTGGGTTGCCTGATTTATATTTGGATTGACTTATTTTGAGGTTGAGCCGATTTGCTATAGAGTTAGGTTGGATTAGTTTGGCGTTGTTTGGCTTGTATGATGATTAGCTTGAATCTTAGTTGAATTCCTTTGTGGTTGAGTTACTTTAGAGTTAGATTGGCTTGTTTTTAAGTAGTAGGATTATTTTGTCGCTTAATACCTATAGGGTTGGATTAGCTTGGTTTGGAGTTGGATTACTTTCTGGTTAACTTGCTCTTGAGCTAGCTTGATTTGCTTTCTGAACTGCGATTTTCTAAAGAAATCCAACCCAACCATGTGTCAAATTTGAATTACAATGAGTTGGGTTGCCTTGATTTATTGATTTTTAGTTGAATTTCTTTGTACTTGAATTACTTTAGAGTTAAATTGGCTTGTTTTGAAGTAGGATTATTTTGTCGCTTAGTTCCTATAGGATTGGGTTAGCTTGGTTTGGAGTTGGATTACTTTCTGGTTAACTTGCTCTTGAGCTAGCTTGATTTGCTTTCTGAACTGCGATTTTCTAAAGAAATCCTACCCAACCATGTGTCAAATTTGAATTACAATGAGTTGGGTTGCCTTGTTTTATGATTGGATTGACTTGCTTTGAGATTGAGTCGATTTACTATACAGTTAGGTTGGATTAGTTTGGCGTTGATTGCTTTGTACGATTGTTAGCTTGCCTCTTAGTTGAATTACTTTGTGGTTAAGTTACTTTAGAGTTAGATTGCTTGTTTGGAAGTAGGATTAATTTATGGCTTAGTTCCTATAGGGTTGGGCTAGCTTGGTTTGGAGTTGGATTACTTTCTGGTTAACTTGCTCTAGAACTAGCTTGATTTCCTTTCTGAATTGGGATTTTTTAAAGCAATCCAACCCAACCATGTGTCAAATTTAAATTACAATGAGTTGGGTTGCCTTGATTTATGATTGGATTGACTTACTTTGAGATTGAGTCGATTTGCTATACAGTTAGGTTGGATTAGTTTGGCGTTGATTGCTTTGTACGATTGTTAGCTTGCCTCTTAGTTGAATTACTTTGTGGTTAAGTTACTTTAGAGTTAGATTGCTTGTTTGGAAGTAGGATTAATTTATGGCTTAGTTCCTATAGGGTTGGGCTAGCTTGGTTTGGAGTTGGATTACTTTCTGGTTAGCTTGCTCTAGAACTAGCTTGATTTGGTTTCTGAATTGGAATTTTCTAAAGCAATCCAACCCAACCATGTGTCAAATTTGAATTACAATGAGTTGGGTTGTCTTGATCTATGTTAGGATTGACTTACTTTGAGGTTGAATCGATTTGCTTTAGAGTTAGGTTGGATTGGTTTGTCATTGTTTGGCTTGTATAATAATTAGCTGGCCTCTTAGTTGAATTCCTTTGTGGTTGAGTTAGTTTAGAGTTAAATTGGCTTATTTTGAATTAAGATTATTTTATAGCTTAGTTCCTATAGAGTTGGATTAGCTTGGTTTGGAGTTGGATTACTTTCTGGTTAACGTTCTCTAGAACTAGTTTGATTTGCTTTCTGATTGGGCTGTTTCTAAAGCAATCCAACCCAACCATGTGTCAAATTTGAATTACAATGAGTTGGGTTGCCTTGATTTATGTTTGGATTGACTTACTTTGAGGTTGGGTTGGTTTGGCGTTGTTTGGCTTGTATGATGGTTAGCTTGCCTTTTACTTGAATTTCTTTGAGTTACTTTAGAGTTAGATTGGCTTGTGTTGGAGTTGAATTATTTTCTGACTTCAGATTAGGT